AGCTAGGGTCTGCAGTCAAAGGGGCCCCTTGGCTAAATCTGGGACAATGTGAGCATTAAAATAAAGATTGTGATGGATTATAATAATTGAATAAAATAAAAACCCAAAATCAATACTATAAATAAATAAATAAATAAATAAATAAATAAAGCGCAGTGGCTCCTGCCTGTGCAAATCCCACAGTTTTGGAGGATTCGTTGAGCCCGGGAGTTCTACACCAGCCTGGGCAACATAGTGAGATCCCCATGTCTACAAAAAATAAAAAAAACTAGCCAGGCCTTGCGGTGTACACCTGCAGTCCTAGCTACTTGGGAGGCTGAGGAGGATCACTTGAGCCCAACAGTTCGAGGCTGCAGTGAGCTATAATGGCAGCACTGCACTCCAGCCTAGGCAACAGAGCAAGTCCGTGTCTCAATCAATCAATCAATCAATCAATCAATATTCTTTGTACTATTCTTGACAAATTTCTGAAAGTCTGAAAATGCCAGACATATTGTCACCTCAGGGCTTTTGTGCTAGCAGTTCCCTCTGCCTGAAACCTTCTTCCCCAGTTATCCCATAATCTGCCCAGTCATCACTTAAATTTTGTCTTCTCAGTGAATCCTTTGCTGATCATCCCTGATGACATCTAAAATTACAATTCTCACTCTCCACTCCCCTTCTCTGCTTGCTTTTTTCTTTTCTTTTTCTTTCTTTCTTTTTTTTTTTTTTTTGGAGACGGAGTCTCTCTCTGTCGCCCAGGCTGGAGTACAGTGGCGCAATCTTGGCTCACTGCAAGTTCTGCCTCCCGGGTTCACTCCGTTCTCCTGCCTCAGCCTCCCGAGTAACTGGGACTACAGGTGCCCACCACCGTGCCCGGCTAATTTTTTGTACTTTTTTTAGTACAGACGGGGTTTCACCGTGGTCTCAAGCTCCTGACCTCGTGATCCGCCCGCCTCAGTCTCCCAAAGTGCTGAGATTACAGGCGTGAGCCACCGCGCCTGGCCTTTTTTTGTTTGTTTTTTTGAGAAGAAGTCTAGCTCTGTCGCCCAGGCTGGAGTGCAGTGGTGGGATCTTGGCTCCCTGTAACCTTCACCTTCCGGGTTCCAGTTATTCTCCTGCTTCAGCCTCCCGAGTAGCTGGGACTACAGGTGCCCGCCAACACGCCCGGTTACTTTTTGTATTTTTAGTAGAGATGGGGTTTCATGATGTTGGACAGGCTGCTCTCGAACTCCTGCCCTCAGGTGATCCGCCCGCCTTGGCCTTCCAAAGTGCTGGGATTACAAGCGTGAACCACCGCGCTCTGCCCATGTTTAATTTATTTCTATAGCACCATCTAACAAATGATGTGCTTTGTATAACGTACATTGACTGTTTCCCCTAGGAGAATATATGACTTGTAAGGGCAGAGATCATTGCCTGTTTCTTTTGGGACTATATCCCCAGGGCCCAGGACAGATGGAGGCCCACGGTATGCACCCTGTAAATATGTGCTGAAGAATAAAGGAGGTTCAGGGATCCAGACCTTTTGTGTCTGCAGGGCTTTAAGTTCTTTAAGTGGTTTCACTGCCCTATTTTCTCTGCCTGGGTCTGTGCTGCCCCTTCTCTTTTCTTTGATTTTGCCACCCAAGGCAAGCGGAGCAGGGCAAGACCTGAAGTTTGCCTTGTGGGCCTGGAGAGCATCTATCCTGGTCTTTCCTTGGCCCAGGGTCCTGGTCCTTCTACTTCCCAACCCCCAATGCCCCAGGACTCAACCCTCCAGGAACTCCCTCTACCCAGGGCCCAGGGGCTCCCAGGAAACCAGCCTGCCTTTTGAAGAACTGAAGAGGGAGGAGCCAAGTCTTGGAAACCAGGACAGGGGAGACTTCGCAATGGGGGAAGGGAGGCTGGGACACTCTACCGGCTATGTGTATATATGTATATATGTGTATATATATGTGTACTGTATATATATGTGTACTGTATATGTATACTATATACACATGTATGTGTATATATGTATATGTGTATATATGTGTGTACTATATACACATGTATGTATACACATGTGTGTATACATATATACATATATTTATATATACACATGTATGTATACACATATATACATATATATGTATATATACACAAACATATATATGATTATAATGGGGATTGCCGGACGCAATGGCTCATGCCTGTAATCCCAGCACTTTGGGAGGCCGAAGTGGTCAGATCACCTGATGTCCGGAGTTCCATACCAGCCCGGCCAAACTTAGTGAAATTCCGTCTCTACTAAAAATACAAAAATTAGCCGAGGGTGGTGGCTAATGCCTGTAATCCCAGCTACTCAAGAGGCTGAGGCAGGAGAATCGCTTGAACCCGGGAGGCAGAGGTTGCAGTGAGCGGAGATCCCAGCATTGCACTCCATCCTAGGCAACAAGAGCGAGATTTTAATGGGGCTAAAAAAATTCCTTATCACCGGGCGCGGTGGTACACGCCTGTAATTCCAGCACTTTGGGAGGCCGAGGCTGGCGGATCACGAGGTCAGGAGATTGAGACCAGCCTGACCAACATGGTGAAACCCCATCTCTACTAAAAATACAAAAATTAGCCGGGTGTGGTGGCACCGGCCTGTCATCCCAGCTACTTGGGAGCCTGAGGCAAGATAATCGCTTGAACCCGGGAGGCAGAGGTAGCAGTGAGCCGGACCGCCCCACTGCACTCCAGCCTGGACAACGGAGTGAGACCCCGACTCAAAAAAAAAAAAAAAAAAAAGAAAGAAAGAAAAATTCGTATCACTTAAAGATGGCATAGCTATCATAACATTGTAGTGCCATGCGTTACCTTTGAGGTACACAAATACTTACCATTGTGTACAGTTGCCTGCAATATTCACTACAGTACCATGCTGTAGCTGTACGGGTAGCTTAGGAGCACAATAAACTACACAGTGTAGCCTAGGTGTGTAGAAGGCTCTACCATGTAGGTTTGCATCACTACACTCTGTGATATTTGAATAATGAAATTGCCTAGCAATGCATTTCTTTGAATATATCCACACGTTAAGCAATGCATGACTGTACCTAAGACAAAGATCTAGGAGTTAACCCCTTCATGTTTTCTCTTCTCACCACCACCTCAAGGCATTGCCTAGAAGACTGCTCCAGCCCCAAATGAGCCCTCTGCCTTCATTCTCCAAATAGCAACAAGAGCGATCTTTTAATTTTATCTATCTATCTATCTATCTATCTATCTATCTATCTATCTATCTATCTCTGTCTAGAGTCTCGCCCAGGCTGGAGAGCAGTGGTGCAATCTTGGCTCACTGCAACCTCCCCTCTCAGATGCGCACCATCACCCCTGACTAATTTTTTTTTTCTTTTTTCTTTATTTTTTTTTTTTTCATTGAGACAGAGTCTGGGTTTGTCGCCCAGGCTGGAGGGCAGTGGCGCGATTAAGGCTCACTGCAACCTCTGCCTCCCGGGTTCAAGCGATTCTCCTGCCTCAGCCTCCGGAGTAGCTGGGATTACAGGCACACGCCATCACTCCCGTTTAATTTTTGTATTTTTAGTAGAGACGGGGTTTTGCCATGTTGGCCAGGCTGGTCTCGAACTCCTGGGCTCAAGCGATCCTCCCCCCTCAGCCTCCCAAAGTGCTGGGATTACAGGCGTGAGCCACAGCGTCCGGTCCAAAGTGATTTATTATTATTATTATCATCATCATTATTTTGAAACGGAGTCTTGCTCTGTTACCCAGGCTGGAGTGCAGTGGTGCGATCTCGGCTTATTGCAAACTCCGCCTCCCAGTTCAAGCGATTCTCCTGCCTCAGTCTCCCGAGTAGCTGGGATTACAGGCGTGTGCCGCCACGCCTGGCTAATTTTTGTATTTTTAGTGGACACAGGGTTTCGCCATGATGGCAGCCTGGTCTCGAACTCCTGAAATCAGGTGATTCACCTGCCTCGGTGTACCAAAGTGCGCGGATTACAGGCATGAGCCACCGCGCCCGGTCCCGAAGTGATCTTTTAAAACATAAGTCAGAGAATATAACTTTCCTAATGAAAATCCTCCACTAGCTTCCAATTGCCCTTAGACTAAAATCCAAACCCCTTCAACACTCTCTAAGATCCTGTGGGATGGGCTACGCCTGACTCTCCAATCTGATCTCTGCCACTCTGCAAATTCTCCATCTCGGGTTCGCTGGACCTCTTTCTCCAGCTCCCACCAGCAAATAGCTCTCCTGCCTCAGAGCCTGTACTTGCAGTTCCTTTTGCCTGGACTCAAGGCTGCTGACTATGCTGGCATCAAATATCAACTCTTCATAGAGGCTGTCTCTGACCACCCAGAGTAAAGTAGCCCTTCACTTTCAAGTCATCGCCATGACCCTTTTGTTTTGTTTTGTTTTTGTTTTGTTGTTGTTTTCTTTCCACAGCCTCATAACCTTCTGAAGCTATCTTACGTTATTTTTTGCTTTCGCAGTTATTGTCTGTCTTTCCCATTGTAACGTAAGCTTCAGGAAGGCCCAGACCCAATGTACTCCTTCCAGTACTCAGCACACGGGAGGCACCCAATAAATATGGGCTGACCTAATAAATCCAGCAGCTGCGCACACAGGCATATAGATAGATGCACGTGTTTGTTTGTTGTTGTTGTTGTTGTTGTTTTTTGTTTTTTTAAACAACGGTTTCCTTCTGGAGGCCACGGTTACTACTTAGAGCTAAGAAGAGAGCATTGGCAGTCACAGATACAATCCGAGGACGAGACAGAGACCCAGACCCTGGCGCAAATAAAACAGGCTGAAGGAAACGGGAGAGGCAGCTCCAGGGTGAGTTCCAGAGAGACCCAGATAGACTAAGACCGAGACAAAGATTCACTCAGCGAACCTAAGCCCCGAGCCCACCGGTCCCGGCAGCTACCGCGGACAGAGCCAGGAGGAGGAGGCGAGCGGAGGGAGGCGTAGCGCGCCGGAAGGGAGCGGACCGTAGGGAGCCTCGTCGCCCCGCCCCGCCGCTCCGCCCCGCCCTGCTCACAAGTGGTCGTCGCCGCAGGTGGCGGTGCGCCTGCCCGCCCGCCCTCGGGCCCGACGCGTGCGGGATCAAAGCGGCCGGGAAGGGGCGGGGAGGGGAGGTGGCAGGAACCCAGAGGTGTTAGCGAGCTTCCCAGGGGATGGCAGGAGCGTGGGAGCGCAGAGTCCCGGGAGGCGACAGAGACTCGGAGAGACGACGAGATACCAGAGACCCGAGAGAGCCAGAGGCGGAGATGCAGACGCCAAGAGACCGGAGAGACGCGGAATCAGAGATGCGGAGGAACGAGACCACCGACACCCAGAGAGACCCAGGTAGAAGTTGCTGAAGATCTGGAAAGAACGTGAGAGATACAGAGATGGAGAAGCTAAGGGGCACTCAGAGACCCAGTAAGGAGGCTAGACAAAAAAGGCACAGACCCATAGACTTAAGAAAAGGAAGCTTGCTTTAGAGAGAACGGAAAATAACAGAGGAAGAGAGGTGGAAAGAACAAGGGATTTAGAGTGGGGGGCGGGAAGACCTGGCCCCTCCCCCGCGGGGGGCCGAGAGGACCCCCGGGGCAGGGATCCGAGCACTGTGTCCTTTCTCAGGGTCACGCCTGTGGAGGTGCGGGCCGGGGGCGGAGGGAGGGGTGTGGAGGATGCAGTACCCCCAGGCAGGGAGGAGGGGAGAGTGAGGGCGTGCGGAATCAGGGTGTAGGACTGGAGCTGCAAATTCTGCTATAGTCAAAAGGCTAAGATTTATATTTGGCAGAAATATTTAAGTGAAGATGCTTTTTGGATGCTACCAAATGTATTACCCTCTCTTTGGAGAGGAGAAAATAAGGCTCTTGCATTGGCCGGGAATCGAACCCGGGCCTCCCGCGTGGCAGGCGAGAATTCTACCACTGAACCACCAATGCGCGACTACTGGGATGTGCCAGGAGACTATCTGAGGTCGTAAGAGGTTGAGGCGGACCCGGACAGGCAACTGTGTAGGCCAGGGAACTGGTCCCGAATAGTCGACGTGGGTGGAGCGCCAGGTCATCCTTCCTCTCGTCCGGATCCGGCCACCGGGCCATAAAGCCGCCCCATATGGCCAGGGGCGGCCCCACACCCGGGTGCGAACAGCCTGGGGCCCCCAGCCTCGCGTGCAGGTGAGAAAAATTCAGCCCGAGCCCAGGTTCCCAAGGAGGGGGGCAGCGGGGGCTGTTGGGGCCACACATTTGCGTTCCCATTTGGCTGAGGGACGGAGAGGGGGGATGTGCTGGGGGCCCTGATCCCAAATGGGAGCTCCCTCTTCAAGGTCTGTGCCTCTCTAGGCTCTGGCTACAGCAAGAAAGGCTCCGTTACAAAACCAAGGTGCGGAGGGCCGTTGGGAGGGCTTGGAGGAATTCCCACTGGTCTCTGTCTTCACAGCTATCTTCCGTCTCGGTCTGCAACCCTGTCTTTCCGTGTCTTTATCCCTGGCTACCTGGCTGTCCCGTTCAGTTTCTGATTTATCTTCTCAGGCACTTTGTCCCGAAGCCCCCGAGTGGTCAGGCATCGTTCTGCGGAGGGTCATGTTCTTGGTTTGAGGTGGGTGTTGATCCCTTTTCTGTATCCCTTGCTTTCCTCTTAGTAAAACTGCCTGCTCCCTGCTACCCTACAGTCACCAGGGGCCTCCAGAAGCAAGCAATGCGGGCACACTTGCGTGAGGTGTCCCATCAGCCACACCCCTGAATCTCCTATGACTAGTTTTGAATCAAATACTTGTGCTGTAAGTGGAAAGACCTCTCCACTGCTACCTATGTTTCAAAGACTTGCTCCCTCTGCCTTGAGGTTCCTCCTCAGTCCAGCCATCCTCAAGGAGACCTTTTCCCGGAGCACCTATTTCACTGGGCTTCTGTAACAGCTACTTGGTGTCACGTGGTCTTTCCCATTAGCTACTGCAGGGATAAGCTGGGTCTCTCCTGCGTATCTCACTATGACTCGCCCGAGCCTAGACCAGTGCCCTGTCCGCCCAGTGGGCGCGCAGATGCTCGGGGACTTGAATGTAACTGGCTTAGACAGAACAGAGCGCCTCTCCAACCTCCTGGCAGAGCTTCGGTTGAGTCGGACGGATTTACCCAGCACACTCGGGTTGCTCCCTGTCTCGACTAGGAAGCGAACTTCGGAGATGATGTATAAAATTCAGCCTGGGGGCTGAGAGGTGCTAACTTCTATTTCAGGTTAGTGAGGGTACAGTAAGTCTCCGACAAAGCTGCAATTCTGGAGGAACTCTGAATTTCATCCCCAAGCGAGCTCTGCCCCTAATAACCTCCTGCCTTCAGCTGGGTTCCGCCTCCTTATACAGCCTTATGGTCCGTAAACCAGCCAGTGCCCCCATTCACCCCTCACTTCCCACACTCCCAGGCCAGTTTCTCTACTTCCCCTCCCCCCTTCACTCCTCCTCTTTCCGGGAGCCTCGTGCCGGGTCCTAGAGGGGCAGAATCCGGGTGCCGAAGGGGGCGGGGTCGGGTCCTATCCCTCCTACCCTGGGGCCGCGGAATATAAGGCTCCAGGCGAGCAGGGACCCGGTCCACACCAGGGTCCGGAGGAGCAATGGTCACCCGGGATCGAGCTGAGAATAGGGACGGCCCCAAGGTGAGAGGCGGGAGGGGAGGGAGCAGAGGTCCCTGGTTTGGCCAGGGGACTGGGCCCCTGACGCCGTCGGTCTGGAGAGAGACTGGGGACGCAGGGGTGGAAGGGGAGCCGTGCTCCAGGACTCCAGGAGCCAGGAGCTGGAGAGGAAGCTGCAAAATATGAAGAAAGGGGACAGGGGTCAGAGCCAGACCTGAGTGGGCGGCGGAAACATAGGACTAGGGGCCTCGGTAATGAGGGTCGGCACCTTGTGGCCTGGGGAGGGGGCCGGTGTTGGAGTAAAATAAGTAGAGGGCAGAGCCAAGGGAGGAGGGTGGGAACGAAAAGAGAAGAGGATAGTCTCTTGCTCTACGCTGGCTGTGAGGCGGGCGGGGCTGGCCCAAGGCGGTCTTGTAGAGAAGGCCCCGGGGCGTTGGTTCCAGAGGCCCCACACTGGTGGAAGATTTTAGGAGAACCAGTGGAGAAGGTGGCGGCCTGGAGGGTTCTGAGGGAGAAGAGGGGGCGCGGTCGCGCTAGGTATCTCCCTTTCTATACTCAGGGCCGCCAGCTCTGAGCCCGGCACCGTGCGGGGCACGTGCCTGCGCGCAGAGGGTTCCCAAAGTTCTCCACTGAGACAGAGAGAAACTGCACGAGACGGAGACGTAGAGAGAAAAGAGGAGGAGAGACACAGAGAGGGGAGGAGGGAGGACGAGACTGAGAGAGGAGAATGCGAAGATCCGGGGAGGCGAGCTACAGAAACTGATCTAGGGGCATTGGGAGGGGGAGCGGAGAGGGATCGAATGGCGCCGACCCTAGGCAATCTGGGGTCTTGGGGCCGGGGTGGAAGCCGGGCTCTCCCAGCGGCGGGATCCGACGCCGGCGCGGCCGCGCTGAGTCTCGGTCCGGTCGGCCCGCTCTCCTTTTCCCGCTGGTCGCAGATGCTGAAGCCGCTTGTGGAGAAGCGGCGCCGGGACCGCATCAACCGCAGCCTGGAAGAGCTGAGGCTGCTGCTGCTGGAGCGGACCCGGGACCAGGTCAGTCCCTCCGCTAGCCCCGGGTCCCCAAGCTTCCCGTTTCCGCGTCCCAGGGCTTCCCACTGGGGTGGGGACACATGCTTGGTTGGCAACCCTGGCTCCAAGGCATCCTCACTCGAGTCCCGCCTTTGGAATTCCATCCCAGACCCCCACTCGCTCTCAGAACGCGATCTTCTTCGCCACCCCTCGGGTCTGTAAGTTTCACGCCTGGTTCTGTAAATTTCGCTCCCGGGTTCGGTCCGTTTCACCCTTTGGGTCTCTTAACTGTCCGCTTCTCCCCCACCCCCCCACCCCATAGCCAGCTTCCGATCAGCCAGCTTCTGTTCTGTCGGGTGGTTAATTTCATTCCCTGGGTTGCGGTTTCAAATCTCCTCCTCACGCGTTGGGCATTGGTTCCATCCCCTCGGATTGGACAGTTTCGTCTCAGGGTGGGCCAGGACCTCCCTTGATCATCTCCACTCTGCATTTGGTCGCGCGTTCTGTGGGCAGTGCGCAAATGCGATCGGGGGTACCCCCAGCTCCCGCATCCGCCCCTCCCTTCTTCCCCCTGCCACTTTCCCCCTCTCTCCCCACCCCTTTCTGTCTCTGCGCCCTCGCCTCCCATCTGTAGAACCTCCGGAACCCGAAGCTGGAGAAAGCGGAGATACTGGAGTTCGCCGTGGGCTACTTGAGGGAGCGAAGCCGGGTGGAGCCCCCGGGTACAGCGCGGGGGTGGGGCAGCGGAGGGAGGGAGGGGGGACGCTCGGGCCTGGGCGAGCGGGAGGGCCCTGTGGTGGATGGTGGGCTTGGGGAGTGGCCGGTTCTGCTCCGAGGCGAGGTTAATAACACCCGCGCGTGTCTGTCTCTGTGTCTCCCTCATTTTCTCCCTCTCTCCGTTCATCTGGCTTCCTGTCTCTGTGCGCCTGTCCGGCCTTGGTATCTCTGCGCCCCACCCCTTCCCTCACCCCTGCTGGGCCCCTGCCCTGCCCACCTGTGCTCCCGCCGGCCGCACCCGCCGCCGCGGCTCCAGGGGTTCCCCGGTCCCCAGTCCAGGACGCCGAGGCGCTCGCCAGCTGCTACTTGTCCGGTTTCCGCGAGTGCCTGCTTCGCTTGGCGGCTTTCGCGCACGACGCCAGCCCGGCCGCCCGCGCCCAGCTCTTCTCCGCGCTGCACGGCTACCTGCGCCCCAAACCGCCCCGGCCCAAGCCGGTAGAGCCGAGGCCTCCAGCGCCGCGCCCATCCCTGGACCCCGCCGCACCGGCCCTTGGCCCCGCGCTGCACCAGCGCCCCCCAGTGCACCAGGGCCCCCCTAGCCCGCGCTGCGCATGGTCCCCATCCCTCTGCTCCCCGCGCGCCGGGGATTCTGGCGCGCCGGCGCCCCTCACCGGACTGCTGCCGCCGCCACCGCCGCCTCACAGACAAGACGGGGCGCCCAAGGCCCCGCCGCCCCCGCCGCCCGCTTTCTGGAGACCTTGGCCCTGAGCCTTGGGGGGTGGTGGGGGCGGGGTCTAGGGGTGGGGTAGAGACTCCAGCCCGAGGGCAGCAGAGGGACCCGGGCGTCCGGGCGAGCAGGTGTTGGGGAGGGCGGCGGGGCGCGCGGGCTCAGCGCGCGGGTGAGATGTGGTCTATATTAGAGTATCTATATAAATATATATTTCCCTGGTTCCTGTCCCTTTTCCCTGCCCCAACTTCTTCCTTGCGTCTAGGATTGTACTCTCTCTGCCCCCCAGCCCAGTCCCAGTCCCTTCCCGAGTCCCTAGTGCATGGAATAAAGTGGTTATTAAATCCCCGTGTGTCCCCGAGCCAGGGGCCTGCCTTTATCTCGACGTCCACGCCCACCTTCCCTTCCCTTCTGTCTCCCACCCTCAGTCCTGCTCTCCATGGCCCAAGCCCCGGGGCAGACAGGTAAGTAAAGAAGAGAGCAGAGCGGGAACTGAGATCGAAATAGAAACCAGGTGGAAAAAGAGAGAGAGATAGGGTAGGGGGAGAAAAAAACGGATAAAAGGAAAAATTTGAAATAAAATCGACTCTGGTGGGATTCGAACCCACAACCTTTGAATTGCTCTAATTCGTCACTAGAAGTCCAATGCGCTATCCATTGCGCCACAGAGCCACCTGGCGGACGGCAGCATCTTCTAGCTTACCGGTACTAGAGTGGGAAAGGGGCAGGGTTGGGGGAGTGGGGGGCGGACATGCCAGGAGCGCGCGGTTTGGATCGCAGAGGCCAAGCCAGGTAGAGGGAGCGGGCGCAAAGCATGTTAGCCAGCTGAGAGCGAGGGTGCATATAGGTCGAAAAAACTGGGAGGGAGAACAACGGAAAATGGGTGAGCGAGCGAGTGCAGAGCTCCGGCTGCCCGATTGGGGGCTGCTTCCGGCTCAGGCGCTCCCCACTCCCAGATGTAGTCCCACCCAAATAAACTAGTTTTGTTGTAAATTTCTGTGTGTTTCTGTCTCTTCTCGTTTATCTGTTCTGCCATCTGCTGCTATGCGGTCCAGAGTCTCGATGGTTCCCCATTTCCAGTTTGAAAGATGTGGAAAAGGAGATGGATCAGTTTGGCACTCTTAGTTTTGCCCCATTCCTTGCTTCTAGTCTCTTAGGAGGACAACGGGGACAGCGGGTTTTCACGCGGGTAGCGTGGCCGAGCGGTCTAAGGCGCTGGATTTAGGCTCCAGTCTCTTCGGAGGCGTGGGTTCGAATCCCACCGCTGCCAGGCCGGAGTTTTTCTGGTGGATCAAGCACCTGATATAATTCCGTTAGGTTCTACCTATTTACATGCAAAAAGTAATTTTATTAATTCCCCTGTTAATAGTTTCACCATCATCTTCCGTGTTTGGTCTTCCAGACAGTTCATACTCCTGCATTCATCCCTCAAGCTAAGACCTGATAGTAGCTGCTGAAGCAACGTTTCCTTTCTTCATAACATCTCTATTTTAACATGTTTTTCAAATGTTAGCTCAGCTTCCAAGATATTTAAATAATTTGTTGTATGTTCTCCTAACACTGTGTTATAGGACGCAATCACCTGGTAGGAAAAGCACAAATAATTGGTAGTGTCCTAGTTTCCTTTTTTTTCGGTCGGATTCTCTTGGGTCATAGGAGTATCTCCTGTGTGAAAATCAATTAATAGTATGCAACATGCTGATAAAGAAAAAACTTAAGGTTCCACCGAGATTTGAACTCGGATCGCTGGATTCAGAGTCCAGAGTGCTAACCATTACACCATGGAACCACCCTCTTGCTATCGTTCAAGATTATGTACATTACTGGACATTCTATTTTGCATGTCTTCCACACCCGTCACTGAAAGAAAACGAAAACAAAACAAAATCTGCTGTTGGATATGGTAGACACCATTATCGAGCACTTGAAATATATGAATTTAGATGCATTGCCAGCTGCGAAATATCTTCTTTTGAAGGCTTTGTACAAACAAAAAGACTTAAAATTTCATTAATAATTTTAAAATGTTGATTATGTGTTAAAATAAGATTTTGATATATTAGGGTAAGTAAAATAGATCCGTCAAGTTAATTTCGCTTGCTTCTTTTTATTCTTTGTAATGTGGCTACCAGCAAATTTAAATTCAATAATACAGCTCGCGTATGTCGTTTTTAGAGTATGTTTATTACCCTCCACCGTCAGTTGCTGTATTTTGCGGAAACCAAGTTTCTGTTCCACTTAGTTTTAAAAGCTAGTAACTATTTTAAGCGAAGCGTGGTACCTAAAAGGTAAAACGATCCGCCCGAACAGGGACTTGAACCCTGGACCCTCAGATTAAAAGTCTGATGCTCTACCGACTGAGCTATCCGGGCTCTTAACAAGTTGGTTACTCTTTCTTTATAAGAGAGTTCTCTATGTGAAAATCCAGGTTTGTAGAACCGCAAGAGGATTGTGTGTATCTATGCAGAATATTTTGGCACAGATTCAGAGGCGGCGGGTGAAGCCCACCTGCTGCTGATTGAGCTTTCTCTGCCTCCCGTTCTTACAGCCCCAGCCGAGGCTGAGACGCAGGGACTGGAGCATAGCGGAGGCTTGAACGGTGCGGCGCCGGAACTGGCCGCGCGGGGCCGCTGCGGACTATGGGCTTCTCCCTCCGAGAGGTTCTTCCCCAGTCCCACGTGGCCCAGATCCCGGACACTCGGGCTCCCGGGTCCTGCAGGCGCAGGGCGGTCCTGGAGCGGAAAGAATGCCACGCGGGGCCTTCAGACGCTGTTTGCCGGCGCTGTATTTCGCTTTCCTGACCGGCCCTACTCCAGAGCAGAGAATGAGGTCGGGCGTGCCAAAGGCTGGGGACAAAGAGGGCCAGGCGTGGGGGGATCGGTGTATGGGGTGACAGGGGAGCTGTTCCTGACCATTTGACGTGTGCTGGAATGCGTGTGCGACTCACCTGCGTGTGGCTGCAGTCACATGAGATTTATGACCACGTGCAGCTCTCCACTGTTTAGTGATTCACACGGATGATTCACACGTAGGAATGCAGGTGCCCTGTGCTCATCTCCGCCTGGGAATGGGGAGGAACAGATCTTAGGGGACATTGGGGACTGGGCGGACAAGCAGTCCAGGGCATCAGTCCGGGCCGCTGACCAGGCAGAGGGCAGTGTCCCAATTATACAGGCGTCACCTCCTCCTTGTCTCCGTCTCAGCATCTGGTTCCTCCCTCCGCAGTGGAACCCAGACTCCTGATACTCGTCTGGGTGAGTCAGCCAGAGGGACCGGCTGTGTCAGAGGCAAGCAAACAAGTATTAGAGTGCAAGACTGTGGGCGGGGAGAGGGAGCCCGAGCCACCAGCAGGGAACTTCGGAGAGAGAGAGCCCAGGAACATCCCAGACAGAGCTGGGCCCTTCCTCAGCCCTACCCTGCCCCGCAGCCCCTAGCCCTCCACCCAGAAACCCAGCCCTGTCCGGCCTGCCGCTCTCCTCCTCCAGGCCGGCTGCTCCTGCGGCCAGCGTTGCCGGGAGCATCCCTTCCTCCTTCCCATCATGGCAGTGTACCGCCTGTGTGTGACCACTGGTCCCTACCTGAGGGCCGGCACACTGGACAACATCTCTGTCACACTGGTGGGCACGTGTGGTGAAAGCCCCAAGCAGCGGCTAGATCGAATGGGCAGGGACTTCGCCCCTGGATCGGTGAGTACAAAGGAGACAGGGAAGCGCCACCTCTGAGGGGCAGGGTCCGCAGGCGGGAGGAGCATTCCTCCTGGACTCTTGAGATCCTGCTGAAGTCAGGACACCGGCCCTGACCTCCTCACCTTCCCTACTGAGGTCTCTGTCATTTCTGGAGATGACGAACTCCATCCAGGCAGGACTGTGGAGAGGAAGGAGCGTTGGACAGGGAGTCGAGGGACTTCCCCTGGCTCCTAAACTCCTCCCATAATTGATAGTGGGCTTTGGGCAAGTCGTTTCCCCTCTCTGAGCCTGGGTTTCCTCTTATCTGGAGGGGATCTGCCTGCCTCTGCCAGCCCCAGGTGGCCTCCACAAGGGTTCCCAGCCAGCCTAGGAAGCTAGTGAAATGCAGTGCCCACTGTGCTCGGGCACTTTTTTCTTTTCTTTTCTTTTCGAGATGGAGTTTTGCTTTTGTTGCCCAGGCTGGAGTGCAGTGGCGGGATCTCAGCTCACTGCAACCTCCGCCTTCCGGGTTTAAGCGATTCTCCTGCCTCAGCCTCCCGAGTAGCTGGGATTACAGGCGTCTGCCACTAAGTCCGACTAATTTTTTGTATTTTTAGTAGAGGTGAGGTTTCATCCGGCAGGCTGGTCTCGAACTCCTGACCTCAGGTGATCCACCTGCCTCGGCCTCCCAAAGTGTTGGGATTACAGGCGTGAGCCACAGCGCCCGGCCCGGGGACCCTTTTTCTAATTCATACAAAAGCCCGGTATGGGCTAGGAGCAGCTCAGGTTTGTATGGTCGAACAGGCTTAGGTGTAGATGCATCTTGCAAGGCGCAAGGACTGCCTTGGCAGTTCCCTGCCTCTCACCTGCTTGCTGTCTTGGTCCCCTCAGGTACAGAAGTACAAGGTGCGCTGCTCGGCGGAGCTGGGTGAGCTCTTGCTGCTGCGTGTACACAAGGAGCGCTATGCTTTCTTCCGCAAGGACTCTTGGTACTGCAGCCGCATCTGTGTCACCCAACCGGATGGTACTGTATCCCACTTCCCCTGCTATCAGTGGATTGAAGGCTACTGCACCGTGGAGCTGAGGCCAGGAACAGGTGGGCCAGGGACCAGGACTACACTGTACTGCAGGTGTCTTTTGGGATTAGGAGTGGGGTCTCACAGAGCCCCAAAGTGTAGGGAACAAGATTGAGGTCAGAAACTCTGGGCTCCCAAGTAGATGTCTTCTGAAAAAAGGGAACCTCTCAAGCCCCGAAATGCGACGGTTTTCCAGACGGTATTGACTCTTCCGGAGACTCACATAGACACATCCACTCATATAGGCATGCACCCTTCTCTCGTACACGTAGGAAGCACGTTGCTTTCCACAGCCTCGCTCTGCACTTCTCCAGAGTGAGTTCCTCCAGAACCCAGAGAGGAACTAATCCGCATATTGAGTCATTAGATTTTAACAGGTGGAGAAGCCCTGGCTGCTTAAAGATTTTAGCTGGAGAGGCCCTGTTCCCTCCCCTACTACTAGCTTTTCCAGTGTGGATGAAGACCCTGAGAGGTGCTGCTAAGATTCCTTGTTGAATTTCTGGATTCCATGGATACTGGGCTTGAGCATCTTCAATTTCCAGAGCTGTCCGATCTGGAGAGGCAACAGTAGGGCTGCTCTTGGTGTTGGGAGGAGGCTCAGGATGAAGGAGGGATATTCTAGGTCAAAGTGAGGCAAGTGAATATTACCCCATTGTCCATAATAAGTTTTCCACAGACCTCACTATAAACTCTCATCTGTCACCACAGCACATCCATCCATAGCTACAGAAAATATATTTGTTCATCAGTCATTTACCAAGTGCATCTCATACACATGGGCCAGGCACCATGCTAGAAGCTGGGAATACAGGAAAAAAAAAGAAAACTACGACTTCTGCCCTCAAGGAGTTTATATTCTGGAGGGGAGATACACATGCCAACAATAGGAACGTTGTTATAATTTGGGGGTTAGGCTGTCTTGAATCCCTTCTACTGATGAATATACAAGGAACGTGGGGGCACTGCTACGTGATTCACAGAGATGTGGCTGTCGGATTGGGTTCAAGGGTCAGGGGGTTCAGGCAAGGTTTACAGAAGATGTTGTTTGAAAAGAGACTTATGCCAAGAGTAACCTTCATTCCCCACAGCAAGAACTATTTGTCAGGACTCCCTTCCCCTCCTCCTGGATCACAGGACACGGGAGCTCCGGGCTCGACAAGAATGCTACCGGTGAGGGTGGCCTAATTTGACTTCTTTCCCCATCTTTATTCTGACCTCAGCCTTAATCAGATTGTTCCTAACTCTAACCTCATTCTCAACCTTGGGTGCCTAACTTGGATCAGGACTCTTATTTGGACCTAACCCCACTTTAATAGTGACCCTGAGTCTGAACTGAGAACACCAATAGTAACAGTTGTCCCAACACCACCAATGAATCCATACTCAGCCCTCAACTATCCCTGATGTAACCCAGATCCCAATATCAGAAGTGACCTGAAGTATCCTCCAATCTCAGTCCTTTTTCAGCTTCCCCCCATAAATCGGCCATGATTTTAATCTCAACACAAACCCCTCGCTAACCCAGTGTGGGCATTAATGCCATCCTCAAATGCTACCCTTATGTGAAGCCCAGTGCTTTCATGGAGAAATGTCCAATTCCTTGTCACCCATCCAGAAAGTAGGTGGTTTCTGAAGTTTTAATCTGAAGTTGTGTCTTTAAAGCTAAGACTTGTGTTTATCTGGAGCATGACTTGCCACCTCTGGCCTCTTTCCCTCGGAAGCTGGAAGATCTATGCCCCTGGCTTCCCCCGCATGGTAGATGTCAACAGCTTTCAGGAGATGGAGTCGGACAAGAAATTTGCCTTGACAAAGACGACAACTTGTGTAGACCAGGGTGACAGGTGAAGATTAAAGCTTGGGAAGGAGGGGAAAGAAAGTCAAGTGAGGGGCTGTTGAGAGGATGGGGTCCTGATAGCCAGGAAGGAGGGGTAAGGGTCTATGACAATGTAGTTTCATTCAGGTGTTAGGTTGGGAGATGGCCCCAAAGGGTCTGGCAGAGAGGAGGAGAGTGAGGAGGTTACTTTAGGTCAGGAGCAGAGAGGGCAGGGGAGGAGCCGGGAGTAAGGGAGACCCGGGGACTCCGAAGGCAGGAAAGAGGGAAGGAATTAAGGGGCTGGGCTGCAGAGCTCAGTGACTGGTTTCTGTCTTTCTACACCCCCAACCCCCAGCAGCGGGAATCGGTACCTGCCTGGCTTCCCCATGAAAATTGACATCCCATCCCTGATGTACATGGAGCCCAATATTCGATACTCAGCCACCAAGACGATCTCGCTGCTCTTCAATGCCATCCCTGCGTGAGGCCATTGCCCTTCTGATGAACATCTCACATCTCTGCCCATCCATCCCCTTCCATTGCTCCCAAACTGCCCCTTCTCCCTATCCCCGGTATCCCGTCTCCGTACCCCAGTCCCTCCTCTCTGGACTCATTCCCTCTCCCTGCCCCACAGTCTTCCCTCTCTACATGGCCCCTGCCCCCTTCCTGCCCCGTCTCTCCCTTCTGCTCCCCCATTTCCCCTCTCCCTGCCCCCAGACTCCTCAGCCTCTGCTTTCATGACTGAACTCCTCGCGGTTTTCCCACCCACCCCCACCGGGTGTTGACTGGGCAGACCCCCAGCAAGTGTTTGTGCAGTGAGTGAGTGAATGCTTAGGAGCCCAGGGGATATCGTTCTTGGGCCTGTCAGATCATTCCTCCCCACTTGCCACCCTGCCTTCCCCAGGTGCCCACACTTTTCAGGGCATATCACTTTTTTTTTTTTTTTTTTTAGACAGAGTTTCACTCTTGTTGCTCAGGCTGGAGTGCAGTGGTGCAACCTCCCCGCCTCTCGGGTTCAAGCGATTCTCCTGCCCAAGCCTCTCAAGTAGCTGGGACTACCGGCTAATTTTGTATTTTTAGTAGAGATGGGGTTTCTTCATGTTGGTCAGGCTGGTCTCGAACTCCTGACCTCAGGTGATCCATCTGCCTTCACCTACCAAAGTGCTGGGATTACAGGTGTGAGCCACCGCGCCCAGCCCACATTACCTCTTTATGCATCCTATGTTATTTACCTATTGCCACAGGCGTACTTGTTCCATGTTCCATTTCTTTTGTTGTTGTTGTTGGTTTTTTTTTTTTTTTTTTTTTTTTTTTGAGATAGAGTCTCACTCTGTCGCTCAGGCTGGAGTACAGTGGCGTGATCTTGGCTCACTGCGGTCTCCACTTCCTGGGTTCGAGCAATTCTCCCACCTCAGCCTCCTGAGTAGCTGGGATTACAGAGATGCGCCACCACACCTGGCTAATTTTTGCATTTTTAGTAGAGACAGGGTTTCACCATGTTGGCCAGGCTGGTTTCGAACTCCTGACCTCAGGTGATCCACCCGCCTTGGCATCCCAAAGTGCTGGGATTACAGGCGTGAGCCACCGAGTCCTGCTTGCATTCCCTTTCCTTTGATTCAGCCCATTTAGTGAGTGCATATTATGAACTGGGTATGGTGGGGCAGACACAGCCAAGTCCTTGCCCTGAGGAGCTCATAGTATAACGGGGATGATATATGTCCACTGGGCTTACAGTACGATGCAGGGAATGATGAGTGTGAAAGATTCAAGGCATGTGTTTTGGAGGTGTTCAGGCAATGCTCCATAAAGGACTTTGCTTCTGAGCCGTGCCTAGAACAGCTAGATTTTTATCATAGAGATGTAGTAGATGGCTTTCTACCAGAGGCACAGCTTAAACGAAGACCTGGAAGTGGGGGAAAGCTGATTTAATTTCAAGCATGTTTCTCCATATTATAAAATAACGTTGCGGGGCATGGTGGGGCACACCTGTAGTCCCTGCTACTTGGGAGGTTGAGGCAGGAGGATTGCTTGAGTCCAGGAATTTGAAGCTGCAGTGAGCTATGATTGTGTCTATGAACAGCCACTGCACTCCAGCCTTGGTAACACAGGGAGACCCCATCTTAAAAAGAAGAAAAAAAAAATGCTCACTGTAAAAATTGAAACAGTA